AGGTTCAAGCAATTCTCCTGCCTCAGCCTCCCAAGTAGCTGGAATTACAGGTGTATGCCACCATACCCGGCTAAAGTTTGTATTTTTAATAGAGATGGGGTTTCACCATGTTGGCCAGGCTGGTCTCAAATTCCTGGCATCAGCACACCTGGCTACTTTTAAAATTTTTTGTAGAGACAGGGTCTTAGTATGCTGCCCAGGCTGGTCTCAAACTCCTGGTGTCAAGCCATCCTCCCAACTCAGCCTCCCAAAGTACTTGGATTACAGGCATGTGAGCCACTGCACCCAGCCTCATTCTGTTGCCCAAGCTGGAGTGCAATGGCATGATCATGGATCACTGCAGACTCGACCTCCTGGCCTCAGGCAGTAATCCCAACTCAGACTTTCAAGTAACTGGCCCACAGGCATGTATCAACCAACTCAGGCTTATTTTTAAGATGGGGTTTTGCTATGTTGCCCAGGTTGCTCTCAAACTCCTGTGCTCCAGTAATCCACCCACCTTGGCCTCCCAGAGTACTGGGATTACAGGTGTGGGCCACTGCGCCCTGCCCTGATTACATATTTACAGGAACAGGAATTAACTGCAACTTTTTCCTTAGATTACTAACTTCACTGTTAAAATTTCCTATAGCTTTTAGTGACCACCTGTAGATAAACTGAATCAAAACACAGAAAGGACCAAATAAACCATCTCAAGTGTGTTTATGTGTCCTAACTTTAACACTATATTTTAACAATGCTTTCCAATTTTTTTTTTTTTTTTTTTATACAGTCTCGCCCTGTCAGTGAGATAGTGCAGTGGCACGATCTCGGCTCACCGAAACCTCCACCTCCCGGGTTCAAGTGATTCTTCCATCTCAGCCTCCTGAATAGCTACGATTATAGACATGTGCCACCATGCCTGGTTAGTTTTTGTATTTTTAGTAGTGACAAGCAGATCACAAGGTCGGGAGATTGAGAACATCCTAGTCAACATGGTGAAACCCTGTCTACTAAAAAAATAAAAATAAAAAAATAAAAAAAAAAAAAATTAGCCTGGCGTGGTGGCACATTTCTGTAGTCCCAGCTACTACTTGGAGGCTAAGGCAGGGGAATTGCTTGAACCTGGTAGGCAGAGGTTGCAGTGAGCCAAGATCTTGCCACTGCATCCAAGCCTGGTGACAGAACAAGACTCCATCTACCAAAACATCAACAACAACAACAACAAAAACCTATCAGCAGTAAATGATGTTGTTCATTCCTCTCTGTACTTGTTCAAACACTGTTTTCAAGGCTAGGCACAATGGCTCATGTTTTTAATGCCAGCATTTTGGAATGCCAAGGTGGGATAATCACTTGAATCCAGGAGATTGAGGCTGCGTATGGGCTATGATGACACCACTGCACTCCAGCCTGGGTGACAGAGTGAGACACCGTCTCAAAAACACAAAAACAAAAACACTGTTCTCATTTAGCCTCTGGGACACTACCTTCTTTCTCCTATCCCCATGACCAACCCTGCTCAGTTTCTTTTTCTGGTTGTTCAAGCCCTAATTCTTGCCACTTTACTCCAAACTTGTACGTCTAACTGCTTACTTGATACTTCCACCTGGATGTCTTGTAGGTACCTGAAATAGTACATAACCACAGCTGAACTCCCGTCTCACATCGCATGTTTGTCCTGCTTTACTCAGACTCCTGGGTGTCTCCTGAATAGTATACCAAAAGCATGTAGGTACCCCAGAACCTCTACCTAGAATGTGTCTCTCCTAGACCACCATGTTTGCTCTCTCTTTTTCAGGTTTCTATTGAAATATTATCACTGCATATAACATTACTTGCACTCTTCTCTCACCCTACCATCTCTTTTATCCTGCTTTATTTTTCTTCACAGCACCTAGCAGTACCTGAAACATAGTTGTGACATCTATTTGTCTACATCCACTAAAAAGTAACTCTAAAATATCAGGGATTTCGAACAGAGAAAGAACCACGATAGTGCTTAATATTGCTTGAATGAATGACAGCAGCACCCTCCCCTGAAAAAGCGTGGAATATTGAGACATGAAAAACAAAAATACAGATGACACCTAAGTATCTCCTTTAAATCTTGAACTTACTTGGGCTAAGTAGATCAGACTTTTATAAGGCAGGCTTTTTTTTTTTTTTTGAGACAGAGTCTCGCTCTGTTGCCCAGGCTGGAGGGCAGTGGCATGATCTTGGCTTACTGCAGCCTCTGCCTCCCAGGTTCAAGCAATTCTCCTGCCTCAGCCTCCCAAGTAGCTGGGATTACAGGTGCACACCACCACGCCCAACTAATGTTTCGTATTTTTAGTAGAGATGGGGTTTCACCATGTTGGCCAGGCTGGTCTTGAACTCCTGACCTTGGGTGATCCACCCACCTTGGCCTCCCCAAATGCTGAGATTACAGGTGTGAGCCACTGCAGCCAGCCAGTATAAGGCAGACTCTGAACTGCCTTCTCTGTTTTTCTTTGTTTATAAAATCACATAATTAATGTGAGTAGCTTTTCTGGCTTTATCTATATAACATGAAATTTAAAAACTTCTAGGTTTTATCTAAATGTCAATTCTGTAATGCTTCTTATGGAAATTAACAAGCTTTACAGAACCTAATCTGGTATTATCATCTCTCCTGAGCTAAAATGCTATTCAGATTATAACTAGGCCCCAAAAAAATTTTTTTGAGACAGATTCTTGCTCTGTCACACAGGCTGGAATGCAGTAGTGCAATCTCGACTCACTGCAACTTCCACCTCCCGGGTTCAAGCGATTCTCTTGCCTCAGCCTCCTGGGTAGCTAGGACTACAGGTGTGAGCTACCACACCTGGCTAATTTTTGTAGTTTTAGTAGAGATGGGGTTGGCCACCATGTTGGCCAGGCTGGTCTGAAACTCCTGACCTCAGGTGATCTGCCCACCTCAGCCTCCCAAAGTGCTGGGATTACAGATGTGAGCCACCATACCCAGTCCATAAAAAATTATTATAATAGTTTTTTAAAAACGTAACTTTTGCTAGTTTCAATTTCAATTTTACATAATCTATCTTGGCAAATTCTACAAAACATTCACACTTTTTGTTTATTATATCTCCCTATGTTTATTATCTTCTAGTAGAGCAGACTCTGTGGATAGGGGATAGGGGAGTGGTAGGTGGGACGAAACGTGCAAGGGGATGAGGGTAGGGGAAGAGATTTGGGAGAAAACAGGTAAGTAAGCTTTCTTTTTCAGCTCACTGGCAGAGGGTTCCTTACGTTCATCAGTTTTTTTGAGTTCTTGTAACTGACAGACTGTTGTGATAGATTCTTTTTGTTTACGTCATTCAGGTTAGAGACAAGTGTGAGAGCTGTCAGTCATTCTGAAGTGATTTAGTCTTGCTAGGTTCTAATTCAACATTCTACTTGAATGTAAGCTCCAGGAGGGCAGGAATTTTGACTACAGTTCATAGCTATATTGCAACATCTGGAAAAGAACTTGGCACATAGTATTTAACAAATAAACTGCTAATTAAAAATATGAAGGCTACATTGATCTCAAAGCATAACTGGTTACTGGGATCAAGTATGGAGTTCTTATCCAAGGATTGTACTAAGGTCTGGTACCATGGAACCCCCAATTAAACAGTAATCATGGCTGGGTGCAGTGGTTCATATCTGTAATCCCAGCACTTTGGGAAGCCAAAGTGGGAGGGTTAGTACTTTAGTTCAGGAGTCTGAGATCAGCCGGGGAAACAGTGAGCTTTTATCTCTACTAAAAATAACAAAAAAATTGCTGAGCATATAGCACATGCCTGAAGTTGCAGCTACTTCAGAGGCTGAGGTGGGAGGATTGGTTGAGGCTGGGAGGTTGAGGCTGCAGTGAGCCGTGATCGCATCACTGCACTCCAGCCTAGGCAACAGAGCAAGGCCCTGTCACAAAACAAAACAAAATATGTAATCCCAGCTTTAGTTTCTAGCACTGTGGCAGACTAAATGCCCCAAATGACTCTTCCAATGGAAATAACCAAAATGGTGAATAAAACAATCTTTTAAAATGTACCGCTAACGTGCTATAAAAATAAAGAACCCACAGACTTTAAAAAAGAAGTAAACACAGAAACTCTGGACTAAGATGCAGTAGCAGACTTTTAACTTCCATAACCTGTTGTCCCTGGCCTTACTCTAGTCAATACATTATATTACATTGGGGGGAA